TTAAGAAAAGAGATACTAGTATCTTTGAGACTATTTTCACCCTTTTAGTTAATTGCTAAAACTTCAAGACCACAGGAAAAGTCACATTTAATATCCAGTTACATATATTATAAAGAAAATGAATCAACTCTTCAATTGTTTAAATTGTTCATTTGGCAACTTGCTGCTTGCCGTTATACTGAGACCAGGAAAATGGTGCCTGATTATGGCAGTTATGAGGGGAATATACAGGTAGTCCCCAGCTTACGACACATTTGAGTTACGACGAACTGCGCTTATGATCGTCCCTTTTTTTTGTACATTTTATCATTAGTAATATGTACTGTATACAGTGTTGCAGCATATAATTTGCCAAAGTTATCATTCTCATGCAACCCCCAAAGACAAATAAAGGTCAGAGTTATAAAGATACTGATAATAAAAGGCAATAATAATAATAAAATGAAGTATTTGACTTGCATCAGAACCGACTTAAACGATGGAGTTGTTGGAACGGAACCCCGTTGTAATTCAGGGACTACCTGTAGTGGCATCAGAGGGTGATAACATCAGTGAAACCAACTTTCTCAAATAATCAGTCGGAATCACTGAATAGCTTAACTCTGGTTATTTTCCATCTTAAACTGTAGAGAAATGTCTTTCTAATTGGAGGAAATTTCTGTAACTAAATCCTTTTTTAATTATGCTTTTGGTTAACCTTCTATGTAAATGGTGATACAAATATTGTTGCATAAGAAATTGTATTGTTGATTTTAGCCATGCCTTGCATTGCAGGTAAAGATTAAATAAAAATGTGTGTATTTTGGAGGTAATAAAGAATCCATTGTTCCTCATAGGATACGCATTGAAATTTAAGTAAAAGCTATGTACTCTCCACAGAAAATCCTTATTTTATAAATATATTTTAATTCTTTGTTGATGCTTAATGTTCACTAAGAGCAATTGTTATAATTTGCACGTCATTAAGCTTTGCCAAATTAATTTGGCAACAACATAGACTTGGAACATTACAGAATACAAACACATACAGTCATGGGATTATCTCCTCATTTTGCCAGGAATCAAGCCAAACTCCTTCTGAACTTCTGGAGGGATTAGTTTGTCCATGATTCTCTGAAGAAAGGACAAGAGTAGCATATGTGGGGGGCAGCGGGGCACTGAGTGAAAATGCACGCACACACACACACAAATGCGCACTAAAGTGCATAACATGCATCTAAGGAACGTGTGTAAGGGCTATGTAGTCTCCCTTTCATCATCCAATTCTATGTATGTATAAGTTAAATATTTGACAATGAATAACTCTCTAACGTTACTATTTATGGAGGGTGTATAGGATTTTATGACAATTAAGAAGTATAGTTAAGATTTGAGTCTCCTGTTCAGTTGCGGAGCTGGTATCCCAATTTATGCAGCTTACTAACATACATAAGGTTTACTTACCTAACAAAGATAAAAGTAAGTCTTTCATGAATTTGACCACTCATGATTGGCAACGTTGAATGTGAGGAAACATCCCTGTACTTGGAACCAGAAGCGCTGAGCTTAAGCATTTTTCTTTGCTCCTTGTCTGTCCTTGTCACCTCAGTGAGTCACTTACTCTCTCTGAACGTTAGTTTCCTCATCTGTAAAATAGATCTAATATCAGTCTTACCTGCTTCATGTGGCTTCTTTAAGGAACAAAAGTAACCCATATTGGTCTGTCTCTTTGAAGTTCTATCAGTTTTTGCTTAGTATATTTCAAAGCTTTGATATTAAATGCATAAGTGTTTAGAATTGTTATGTCCTCTGGATGAATCGACCCCTTTATTATTATGAAATAAATTTCTTTATCACTGGTAATATTATTTACTATTAAATCTACTTTATCTGATAGTAATATAGCCACTGCAGCTTTCTTGTGGTTAATGTTTTCTACCTTTTTATTTTTAACCTATTTGGGTTTTTACATTTGAAGCATATTTGTTGTTGGCAGCATATAATTGGATATTACTTTGTATCCAGTCTGACAATCTCTGCCTTTTAATTGCGATATTTTAGACCATTTACATTTAATGTAATTGTTGATTTTGTTAGGCATGAATCTGTAACCTTGCTACTTGTTTTTTATTACAACATTCATCCCCTTTTTACTTTTTTTTTTGCCTTCTTTGGATTAATTGAATTTTTATGATCCCATTTTATTTATTTTGTTGACTTATTAGCTATAACTGTTTATATTATAATTTCAGTGATTACTTTAAGGTAAATAGCATACACTTTTAACTTATCACAGTCTAGTTTAAAGTGATATTATATACTTCACATATAGAATAAAAACCTTAAGATAGTATACTTCCACTTTTCCTTTCCCAATCCTGTGCCATTGTTTATGCATTTCTTTTATTCGTGTTATTAACCCCATGTGACAAAGCTATTTTTAAACTCTCAATTATCTTTTAAAGATATTTAAATAATAAGAAAAATCATATATTTATGTATGTAGTTACCATTTCTGGTGCTCTTCCTTCCTTTGTATACATCCATGTTTCTATCTAGTATTATTTTCCTTCTGCCTAACAACTTTCTTTAACATTTCTTGTGGTAATTAATTCCTTCAGCTTCTTTTACACCTGAAAGAGTCTATTTCATTTTCATTTTTGAAATATATATATATATATATATATTTGCTGAATATAGAATTCTAGGCTTATATATATATATATTTTTTTTTTTCTTTCTTTCTGTACTTTCAAGATGTTACTTCCCTGTATTCTTGCTGGATTGTTCTGACAGAAAATCTGCTGTCATTCTTATCTTTCTTGGTCCATATGTAACATGTCTTTTCTTTGGCTACTTTTAAGGTTTTCTGTCTATCACTGTTTTTGATATATATAATTACACTGTGCCTTGGTGTAGTTTTATTCATGTTTTCTTTTGGTGGGGGGTGGTTCATAGAGGGTTCGTAGAGATTCTTGGCCTATGAGTTTATAGTTTCCATCAATTTAGAAAAATTTTCAGCCATTATTTCATCAAACATTTTTTGTGTCCTCTTTCCAACCCCTCCTTGACTGACTCCAGTTAAGCATATATTAATCTGTTTGTTGTAGTTCTACAGCTTTCTAATGCCCTGTTGAGTTGTTGTTTGTTTGTTTTTTAATTCTCTTTTCTTTCTGTGTTTCATTTTGGATAGTTTCTAATACTGTGTGTTCAAGTTCACTAATATTTTTTTTTCCTGCAATATCTAATCTGCTTTTAATCCTATCCAATTTATTTTTCATCTCACGCACTGTACTTTTCATCTCTGGAAGTCTGATTTGTGTCTTTTTATATCTTTCATGTTTCTACTTAATGTTTTGAATGGATACAGTTATGATAACAGTTGTAATGCCCTTGTCTGCTAAACCTAATATCTGTGTCTGTTCTGTGTCAGTTTTAATTTATTATTTTATCTCTTCATTATGATTCACACTTTCCTGCTTCTTCGTATGTCTGGGTTTTCATATATATATTTATATAAAATCACAGATTCATACTTTTAAAGTATACAATTCAGTGGTTTTTAGTATGTTCACAGAGTTGTGCAACCTTCACCACTATCTAATTTTAGAACAGTTTAATCACTCCAGAAAGAAACTCCATACTCATTAGCAGTCACTCCCCATTCTCTTCTCCTACCTCTAGTCCCTGGAAACCACTAATCTACCTTCTGTTTCTGTAGATTTGCCTATTCTGGACATTTCATATAAAGGGAATTATAAATGTGTATTTTTTGTGAATGCCTTCTTTGACTTAGCATAATGTTTTTAAGGTTCATTCATATTGTAACATGAATTCATTTACTTTTTATTCTCGAATAATATTCCATGGTATAGCTATGTCACATTTTGTTTATTAATTCATCTGTTGACGGGCAATTGGGTTGTTCATGCCTGGAAAATGTTGATTGGATGTCAAACTTATGAATTTTATCTTGTTTGATGCTGGATTGTTTTATTTTGTTTTTATTTTTATTCCTGTAAATAGTCTTAACCTTTACTCTGGGATATAGTTACTTAGTTACAGTTTTAGCTTTCTGAATCTTGCTTTTAAGATTTTTAGGCAGGATCAGAACAGTGCTCAATCTAGAGCTAATTATTCCCTACCATCAAGTTAAGACCATTATGTATTATACCCAACACCCCATGAATCTTGAGATTTTCTAAACTGGCTGATAGGAACAGGTACTATTGCCAGGCGTGTGTGAGTGCTGGGTACTATTACCTTTGATTCTTTCAGAGATTTTTTTCCCTGGTTTCATGTAATTTGCCTATATGTATGTATGGATCAGCACTCCACTAAATACCCAAGTGGGACTTGGGACTCTGCTGAACATCTCTTGTGTTCTTTCTCTGTGTAGCTTTCCCTTTTGGTGTTCTGTCCTACAAACTCTAACTTCCTGCCCAGTGTTCTCATTCCTGTCTGAGAATGGAATATGGACCCCATCCAGGAGGAAGTGCTGGGCTCCTCCTGGGTTTTCCTCTCTGTGCTGCGGCCTAGAAATTCTCTCTAAAATGTACGCTGTATTTGCAGGACTGACCTAATTTGTTTCCTATCTTTCAAGAATCGCTGTTCTTTGTTGCCTGATGTAGATGCCTTTCAAATTGTTGTTTCATGTATTTGATGTGTTCCTTGGTTGTTTCACATGAGAGGGTAAATATGGTTCTTATTCCATCTTGGCTGAAAACAGAAGTGTTGTCACAAATAATTGAAAAGCTTAAATTACTCACCAATTAAAGTACTCATTGGTGGCTCCCAAAGCTGCTGCATAGAGAAATGTAAACTATGGCCCAACTAAAATCACCATTATTTTTTTTTTTCCACACTGAAATTCTAGTCTTTTTTAAGGGGATTAGTAGTGGTTTTTATTTGTTATACCAGATAAGGTTTTGGTGGTAACATGTTAATAACCATTTCTTTAGGAAACCTATTTGTGCCATTTACCTCATTGAATTTGGGAACATTTATGTCTCCTCTCACAGGTTATCAGCGAGTTTGAAGCCTCTCCTGACTCATTTTCCTACAGAATTCCTAACCTGAGTCGGAATCGTCAGTACAGCGTCTGGGTGGTGGCTGTGACTTCAGCTGGCAGAGGCAACAGCAGTGAAATCATCACAGTGGAGCCATTAGCTAAAGGTGTGCCACAGTAGTAAGGCCCTCATTTCGCATTGTAATTTGACTGTTTTTTATTTAACATCAAATGTTATCACATTTTAGCCCCAAAATAGGGCTGCTGCTAACCAGCACTGTGCTTTTGTACAAATCAGAAAAGGACTCCCCTATAAGTGAACACAGCACTAAGGGTGAGTGGCTTTGCATCTGCAAGTGTCTTCACAAAAATCAGGAAAAGGAACTCTCACTCACCACTTTGGGTAGGTGAACATCACCATATAGGAGCTTCCCAAGAAAGTTCTGCTTTCATCAAAGTCACGTATCATACTTGTTAAAAAGAAATGTGTATTTTTTGGTCTATGGAATTTGGAAAGTTACAAATATAAGAAAACCATTGACTATTCTTCTAATGA